GGCACCATCCCTACCCCTTTGTCCTTCTCTGATGTATCCTCTACTGCTTCTGGAGCTGATGGCAGCTTCCTCACCATTTCCCTGAGCACCTCTTCTGCTACATCCTCTCCACAGTGCCTTGCAGCAATGCTATCTCAGTCTTCAACAACTCCCTTACCTTCTCCTCAATATTCTGGAGCTGGCATTCTCATGCTTCCTCTTCTTATGCTCCTCGCAGGAGGAGCACGTCCTCCTCCTTCACCACCTTTCCTTTCCCTTAGCTTTTTTGCTGTGATGTCCTCATTCTCCAACAAATCCCTTCCCTCCTCCACAGCACCCTGCACCTTGCTTTGTCATGCTGCCCCTTCCCATGCCTCTTGCAGGAGTTCGTCCTTCTCTTTTATGGCCGTTTTTAATAATGTGGGGTATAGCCAACCCACGGTTCCTGCCACCTCACAGACACTCTATTTCTCTAAGGACCTCCCAATCTCATGGAGGGCCTCTATCACTGTCTCAGGTGTCACTTCCACCTCCCCCAAATCCCAGGAAGGGGCCCATTCCTTGAGGAAGAAAACCACCTCTGTCAACATGATCACTGGGGGACAACTAAATTCCTCCTCATCCATAAGGGTTCCTGCAGTATTTCCACATAACGGCATAAGGGCAGCCTGCTGAAGCACTCCTCCCATGAAGGCAGCTTGTTCCTTTTTTGGTCTGCAACAAATCCTGCTGACTATGCATGAGGGGGATTTCAGACCCAGTCAGGTTCACTCTGGATTCAGTGAGACCAAACAACAACAATGGAATATTGCAGGTAAAAAAGTTTATAAAAATCTTTATTCTAGTGATGGCAGGTCGAGTGCTAGAATCACATCCACCTCTGAAAAGTTTACAGTCCATCTCCATCTCTGCCTCCACTCAACCCCTGTGAAGAGCACTGGGTGGGGCTCCTTATATAGAAACACAGACAATGATGGCTCACCATCAACAGGTGTGCAAACATGAGTCTGCGAGCATTGCACATATGCAATAGGCAGGTAGATTAGGGTCAGGTGAGGATTCTCGCCATGGTAATTTCCAATTTCCCTACAGCGACTGATAAGTAATCACAACTAGCTAAAGTATTATCTAATAAAAGGAACAGGAGAAACATAGAAGAAAGGAGTTGTAAATACCAGGTACAGCCCATAAACTATATTGAAATGAGAACTGTAATCATCATGCAAATTTTCCAATTTTTCTCTTTTCTGACTTGTTCCCTGAGGTCTTCCAGAATTTGAATCTACTAGAATAGGCTTGGGTCTGGAAGCAAAGAGAAATAGCAGGGATTGACCTTGAGGGGATTCATCACCCTCTATCTCAGGTAATGTTACAACATATATATCACAGGTAACGAACCAACTACCTCAGGTAATATACAACAGGTTTATAAAGTAAAGAGAAAAAACATCAGACAGAGGAAGGATTGCTTCTCCTTACAACTAAGACTCAGTGGTACTTGGGGACTCAAGGTAGCTGGACTCACTACCCAGGTATTTCCATTCTCAGGATCCTACACTCCTAACTGATGCCTAGAAGTCTGCATTGTAATGCATAAAACTGCATAATCAGACTTAGGTTTGTTTTTTGCCAACAATGCATGTGGTTTTGGCAAACTTAGGTTTTGTTTTTTGCATAATCAAAGTTAGGTTGTTTTTTTTATTTGTACCTCAGCCTCACTGATACAAGAAAAAAGATATTTTTTAAGGCAGCCAAGGAAGCTTTCCGAAGTTCCGACAGGGCCTTGAGCAAAAAATGTAAAGCCCTGCATTTGTCATTTTCTTCCTCTACACTTTCTAGTGCAATCTGAACCATACTCATAATTTCCACCATGATATTTTACTGTAACAACCATGTACTCTCTTAAAGTCTTGTCATTGAAAGACATCTGATTCCAGAAAACAATGGAAGATCATTTGAGGAATGTCTTGTCCCTGCATGGAACTGACTCCCAGAGTCCACTTTTCCATTGACAGTGAGGTCATTGCTGATCTCAAATCTAATCTATGTATATGTTAATGCCCAGTATATGCTCCCACTATATGATCAGTTGCTTGGGAGGAACAGGGACACACAAAAAAGGAAAGAAATGACCTTTGACTTCAAGTATGTTGTGATCTTATAATCAGTAGCTCAGAGTTCTGCTAAACTCCAGAGAGCAAACGGCATTCTTTGAGCTGCCTCAGTCCATCTTCACTAGATGACCAATTTAGCTTCACTAAACTTGTTAAGCTGAGTTAGAGAAGAAAGAAGCTATTGCTTGGAGCCCAAGGAGTGACCCCATATTTCTCATAGAGGTAATGTTAAAAATAATGGTTATGCTTCCATACTAATTCCTCAAAGCCTATCAGACTGAAAAGATTACCAAAACATAGTCCTATTTGTATATAAAATAGAGTACATTTCTGGCAAAATTTTGAGTAGGTATTAATTGAATAACAAAGAAACCTTATTACCATCCAGTTGTTGTTTCTATTGCAAAGTATACTTCAAGTCTAATATGAGACATTAAAAATACCCTTCCCCTTTCCCTCTCACCTGAGCATACATACATATCCCACCCTGGCATTCAGGCTAAAAGGGAATCCTCTTCTGCTCACCTTCCAACAACATGTGTCCAGCAATAAAGGAATCACCCATAAGTAGCTGTAATGAGAAAGGCCCCTAGGGGCTTGAGGAATGTTTGGGGGTGGGAAGAATGGGAAACAGAAGATGGGCTTTATAATTAGATTGCTTAGAAAAATCAGTTTGCCTGGGGCCTTTTCAATGTACTGTGTGCTTGCTGATCCCCAGGAGGGGGTCACCAAAGGCAGCATTCACTCCATCTGTTCCAAGATAGAATAGTCTTCCAAGGACACCTTTTACTTCTTTCACAATTCAATATTTTACAGAATGTTAAGTAACTTGCCAAGGACCACTCAGAAAGAAAGGGTCAAACTAATTAAAAGTTAGACCTATCTTACTCCAAAACCCCTGCTACTTCCTCTGTGTAGTTTCCAGGAAAACACAATCACTTTAAATAGTCTGTGGGTGTCACTTCCCACCAATTTATCATAATAAATGAAATTGTGCCTTACCTCAAGCGTCCTATTCACTTGAACTTTTTGAGTTGCAGTCCATCCATGCTAGGAGGAAGAGCTGCTGCCGGACCTGACTCTAGTGCCCCTGACTAGAGAGCACATTAAAATCACCTAGATTTAAATCACCTGGGCTCTACTCCAGACCAATTAAAGTAGAGTCTCTGAGGGTAAGGCTTTTTTCTGAAGTACCCTATTTTTTTCCAATGTACACCCAGTGCTGAGAACCACTGGTGTAGTAAATAGAAAACAGGCTTCCAGGTTTCAGACCTATAGACCAAGTTGAGATCTATAATTTGCTGGCTATGACTTGTAACAAAGAACTTAAGTGCATTGATAGCCTATCAAATAAAATTCATGAGGATTAGAGAGGATGTATTTAAGCATCTCACATTGTGTCTGGCATATGGTAGAAAGAAAATAAATGGTAGCATTAAAATTGGACACTGTTGTAGTGGAAAGAAAGTGGGTTTGAAATTAGGTAGACTGGTTTTAAATCCCAGCACTCCCATTTTCAGTCTGAGGTAAGTTAAATGCTTTGTGCCTTGGTTTCCTAATTTGTGTAACAATTACAATAATTCATATAGAACTGCTGTGAGGACTAAATAAAATGTTTATGAAACACCTGGCCCATTCCTTCTATTTTCTGTATCCCAGCTAGTAAAACTGCCATTGAAAACACTTACAGAAGGTTCCTTATATTTAGAAATGTTCTATTTCAGATGTGGAAATGTATAGATTCTGTGTTTAGTATAATAAATTCAGATAACAGTGTAGAGCCTATTTATTCTATACTATTTCCTACTCTACTGTAGAATAAACCATCAAGATTTGGTGATCAGATATAATAAAAGGTCTTAATGAAGAGAGGGCAGCTACCAGGTCAGTGAGCTAGAACAGAAGTGCAGGCATCTGGATTCTTCCATCCATGCTAGGAGGAAGAGCTGTTGCCCCGACCTGACTCAAGTGCAGATCAAAGTGGCCCCGTACACAAGGGAAGTCAGGCCACACTATCACCACTGCCTTGATGAAACTGAGTCTAGAACAGTCATTAGATGCTTACATCTCAGTGCCATCAATGCTGTTGTAGAAGATTACAATCAAGATGGAAGGTGTTAACAGTGTTAAAACAAACATCCCTGTTCCATCTTGAGAGCAAAATCTATAAATAGATCTGGACATGGGTCAGACTAGATCCTTGTGAAATTATCTGTCTTCACAGGATGTGCCTGGCACATAGGGCTAAAGAACCTGGAACAGTGCCTGATATATACAAGGTACTCAATAAGTGTTCCTTGAATTGAACTGACCTGTGTCCTCTGCCTGGAACACTTCCTGGACTGGAACTAGATGTTATTGAGTCTTACCAAGTACCTGGCCCTGTCCTAGGCACTTTATATAGAGATCATCTCATTAACCTGGCAAACTCCTGCCCATCCTTCAAGATCTAGCTCAAATGTCACCTTTCTCTTAAACCTTCTTGACTCCCTTGGGCAGAGTCCTCTGTGCTTTTGCACTGACAGCTCTTTGCTCAATCCTCCCAAGAGCACTTACCACCTTCTACTTTTAACATATCTGTTTACAAGTCTGTCTCCCCAACTGGAGTGTGAGGTCATCAGGGGCATCATGTCATTATTAATTTTTTGTGTTACTGGTATTTAACACAGCACCTGATGCAATTAATTTTCAAAACACCCTTGCAATTCTACAGAAGTCACATTGAATATATTTATTCAAGAAACTACTTCCTTCTACCCACAAAGCCAGTTAATATTTTATATAACTGAGGAAGGAAAATTTTTACATAACTGAGGAAGAATGAATTTTAATATTACAGAATTTGAACTAGTGAAGAAGTGGGATATAAGGACCTATCTGCACATACCAGGTGTGAGATCAACACCTCCCAGGAAGTGCCCAACATGCTTCCACTAGCACCTACTTCGCGACCTGGTGTTCTCAGGATGTCGATATTACCTGGTAATCATCTTCTGACAGGACCTATAAGCTGTAACAAAGAAAGGGAAATATGAGAGGATTTATACATAATATACACACACAGGCACAATCATACACACACAGACCTCATTTTTCACTAAGGTATTATTGCCTGAAATCCTAAACTATTGTAAAATGGTGAAATAACCATTGCCATATAGAGTTTTGTAAGGATTAAATGAGATAATATATATGAAGTGCCTCATAGAGTGACTAATTTGTTGTGAACTAAAGAAGTGGTAGTTATTTTATTATCCCACAACCAGGCAATACCCTGTTAATCTTCCAGCTTGCTACTCCTTTATTTCCATTGAATGGGGTGGAGTGAGAAGCTTACCAAGAAAAATTCCTTGACTCTCAGGTATTTCACATGAGCACTAAATGTTTGAATGGTGGTGCCATTACTGAAATGGAGTAGGCTGGGTGATGAGGAAAGGACTGATAAATCAAGAGTTCTGCTTCAGAACTCTTTCCATGTTAAACTGGAAATTCCCAGTTTAACTGGAAATTCCCACTAACAATCAAAAAGGGATGTAAAGTAGATGTTGAATATGAGTCTGGAGCAAACATCAGCAAATATTTAATATTAAAGGTCATGCGCTTGGATGAAATGTCTACAGAGAATGCATATATATAATGAATGTTAGGTTTTCTTATTCTCATGGTTATAAAATATATTCTGTTCTAAAGTTCACTTTTTTCACATAGTACATTCATCTTTCCATGTCAGTACATACATATAGATTTACCTGGGGATATTGCAATTTATTGGATTTACTTCTGTTTGTCAGACATGTAGATTATTTCCAACTTTTCAACATTATAAGCTCTACAAATATCTTTAAGAGTTTGTGCAAGTTGATCTGAGGGAAAAAGGCGAGAAAATGGAATTACCCCCTGCCCTCAACAAGGAATTATCCAGCCCAAGGTGTCAATAGTACCGATACTGGGAAAGCCTGGTCTGCACAAGAAGATGAAGAGCACTGGAAATGATTAAAATATGCATAAATATAAAGACTTTTTATAGAAAAGTGACTGTTTATGGCAAAAATAATAACAATGTATTAAGGAATTTAAAACATAGGTAGAGGTAAAATGTCTGGCAGCAACCATACAAACGATGGGAGGGGAGGAATAAAATTACATTGTTATTAGATTCTTACATCATATATGAAGCAGCAAAATAGCATTTGAAGGTTAAGTATGTATATTATAAAGTCCGGAGCAACCACTACATAAATAAAATGATCAGGCATAGTGAATAAATCAATACTGGAGATGCAATGACAAATACTCAAACTGACAATAGAAAAAGAAGGAAAACAGAACGAAAAACGGGGGCAGATTGAAAAAAAACAGCAACATACTAGACTTAATCCAAGTTATATCAATAATTGCATTAAATGTAAATTGCCTAAACACTCCAAACAGGAGGCAGAGGTTTCAAAATAGGGTGTATAGAGCAAGGCCTAATTATATGTAGTCCACAAGAAACCCACTTTAAAAATAAAGGTACAGATAGGTTGAAAGTAAATAGAAAAGGCAACACCAGACAAACACTAATGCTAAGAAAGCTGTAGTGGGCATATTAACATCAGACAAAGCACATCCCAGGACATGGAGTATTACCAGAGATAAAGAGGGACATTTCATAATGATAAAAGAGTTAATTTAATTTATCATGAAAGTGTAACAATTGTAGATATATATACATCCAATACAGAGCTTCAAAGTACATGAAACAAAAACTGACCAAACTGACAAGAAAAATAGTCCAAAACTATCGTCATAGCTGGAGGCTTCAACACCTATCTTTTAGGAATTGACAGAACAAGTAGATAGAAACACGTAAGGATATGTATGACTTAAACAACCCTACTGGACCTAACTGATATTTATTAAATCACACACACAGCAACAGGTTATATATTCTTTTCAAGTGTTCATGAAACAGTTACAGAGAGACAACATCTGCTGGGCCATTGAACCAGCTATTAAAAATGTAAAAGGATTGAAGTCATACAGAGTATGTTCTCTGATTAGAGTAGAGTTAAACTAGAAATCAGTAAAAAATGTATCTGGAAAATCTCCAAATATTTGGAAACTAAACAACCTACTTAAAAATAACCAACAGAAAGAAATAATCTCAAAAAAATCATTGTTATTCTGAATAGCATCCCCTTTTGTTCATTATATTTTCTGATTACTTTTTGCATAAAGAAAATCTATGTTTCAGAGTGTATTAATTTCGTAACATGCCACCTTACTGAACCTCATATACTTTTTTCCAGTTGATTCTCAGATTTTTATAGGCATTAAATTATGCCACCTGCAAAAATAACAATTTTTTCTTTTCTTGTCCTCTACTTATGCCTCTTATTCCACTATTTGTATTGGCTAATATTCCATATAAACAAGTATAGTTATGATTGAGGCTATCCTTAATATATTTCTGATTTTAAAATGTACAGTGGTTCATCAATAAGCATAATGCTGGTTTACTACTTCAAGAAAATATCCATCTACTCATAATTTACTGAGGGTTTTTTAACAAGGAATGGTCCTAATTAAAGGATTCCTATTTAAATTCTGCCAAGAGCTTTAGAGGAATCTATTAAGATGATCAGGTCCCCCCTGCCTTTTACCTATTAATATGTTGAAAGATTAGTAGATTTCAGATATTGAATCGTGTTTGCATTGCTGAAATGACTGGGCTTCATTAGAGCATATTATTCTTTCAAACTGCAGAATTCTAACTTCTAATATTTAATTTAAAAGTTCAGGTCAATATTCTTTTCTTGTTTCCATTGCCAGGTGTTAACATTGGTATTATGACAGCTTTTTTTTGTAAGCTTTTGTAATTTCTTATAAGTTTTCTATACTGGTCTATTTTTATTCTTTAATTAAAGAATTCTTTAATTAAACAGTTAAAATTCTAGAACAGTCCTGTTCATGGTACTTTGATTGTGACGTATAGCAAAAATGTAGCTTTAAAAGGAGACCTGGTATAAATATACACATTGCAGAAGTTTCACTGGATAATACTTTCCCTTTGGTATGAGAATGCACTCTATACTATCCTATTTTAATAAAAAAATGCTCATCTCAAAACACTACTTTGAAAAGTACTACCTGTCCTGTGAAGAATCCAGCATTTCTCAGAGGGTAGCTCACTGGTAATTATTCCATTTTCTTCTTTGGTTATGTTTGTTCTAGAAAATCTGTATCATCTTCATTTCACACAGGTCTTCAAAATTGTTTGCATATTATTTTGCAGTTTACTCTTTTAATTCTCCAATTCTCTTTGTGTCTGTAAATCATTTCTCTTCCTTCTAATTTAGAATATTTATGCCTTCTTTGTATTGATTAGTTTAGCTAGTGTATTATGGGATTTTTTCCTCTTTAAGGTAATAGTCATAAATTTATATTATCAATTCTGCTTTGCTATTTCTGACTTCATCTTTTAATTTTTCTTCAGCTTTTTAAGATTTATAGTCTATTTGTAGTTCATTTTCTAATTTTTTTAGTCAAATAGTGTGCTATTTTCATTTTTTCTTATTTAGTAATACATGTTTGTAACTATGAATATCTGCTGAACACAGTGATAGCTGTATCCAAAAGGTTTTCTATGTAATGTTTTACTTATTATTTTGTGTATGTCCTAATTATTCCTTTCTACACATTCTGCAGTATCAGTTTTATTTCCAGTTTGCACCAAAGGTTGTTTTAAAAACTTTTATGTTTCTAAATAGTGGAAATGGTGATTTTTATTTTGGTCATTCATTTTTGTTTAATTACATTGTTATTACTGGAGAATGTGGTCTGGATTACTTCTAATTTTTGGAATTTATTGATTTCTTTGTGCATGTAGGCTAAAATATAGTCAATTGGTAAATGTTTCATGTGCTTTAAAAAACATTTTTTTTTAGTTAACAGGATATATATGTCATCCATTCCATCTATTCCATCAACCAAATCTATTTCATCAACTGTATGGACTTCGTTATTCAAATATATCCTAACTTTTGACTGATAGATGATGTGATTAAAGCAGGCTACTACAACTTTGTTCCTGATCATTTTTCCTTGTGCTTTGTGCTTCTGCAGTTTTTTATGTATTATTGTAATTATTAGATTATTGAGTGCTTTAAGATTTATGAAACATATCCTCTGTGCAAATCCTTTACCATCATAAAATTTCCCTCTTTGTTTTGTTTTACACTTTCTGCCTCAAATTCAATCCTGTCTGCAACTAACATCATAATCCTGGATTTCTTTGTGTTAGTATTTACATTGCACATTTCCCATTTTTTCTTTCCAGTTTTTTCTCAGATGTCTCCTGAGTTTGAGTGAAGATAAAAATATTACGTTTCTCCATATTTAAAACAGAGGTAGAAAATGTGTATTACAGTAGACTCAAATTCATATAAAAATGTCATGAAGAAATCTCCAAAATTTAGCATAGATTTTAAGTCTTAGTAATGCCTCATTTACAGATTTTATTCAGTAAATTTCTGTGTGTTATTAGAAAGCGAGAAGATATATAAAACTGAATTTAAGGTTTAAAATGAAGTTCATATGACCTTAGAAAAAAATGGTAGTACAAGTAATGTAGTTCTTAGAATTCCCAGCAGGGGCCAGAATGTTCATATTAATTCTAATTAAATCAAAATGTTTTTACTATTAATTCAAGTTTTTATCTCTTTTTAAACTAATAAAGAAGCTAGAACTCTTTACAGTTAAAATTATTAGAAACTACTGACTTTTTAATTTTAAAAGTCAAGGATGTAAACATATAATTCAAAATATTAAAAAATGAGTATAACATAAACAGTGATGGTCTATAACAAAAGACTGATCCCCAATATCTGAGCAAATGGGCATCCAGAGCATGTTTAGTCAGTAGACACTAAAACTCCTACACTAATTGCCAAATGCAGGTCATTGGGTCTTTCAGTTGCCAAGCCAGACCATGGATGGGGTCCAAGAACAAAGGGCACCACTGTGGCATTGACCCAGGAAATTGGGCACTGACCTTATTTGTTAATTTTAGAACATTAAACAAATTCTTAACTGGATATAAAAAAAGAACTAGATGCTTTAAAAGAATTTCAGTGCAAACTGCCTTTGTAAATCCAATAAACTGTTTTAAATTTAATTCTCATTTAAGTCATATAACCTCTTTCTGGGCCTCTGCACAGTTTCTCTATCTGTTTATGAATAGATTAGCTATAATAATCTTAAAATTCTTATGTTCCCAAACTTCAGTTTTTTTCTTTAAGCAAAAAGTATCATTTTTTTCCATCTCCAATTCCTGGCATAGTACTAACACAAATTAGGTGCTCAGTAAATATTTGATGAAAAAAATAAATGAACAAATGAATATATTTTTAAAGGGTTATTTCTAGGAATTTACAAAAGGATTTGGAAACAGAATGCCTCTGAAAGCTAATCCTCTTGAAAAACAATGCTTCTTTAGGCAGTTCAAGGAAATAAGAAAACATTTTCTCAATTCTCTGGGAAGGAACTGAATTCTAAAGCTATCACTACTTCTGAGGCACTAGTTAGTAAAGAGGGAGTCAGATTTTTTAAAAAGAGTTTTAAGACTTTAAATTAAAAAATCTAAATGTAAAACACACACACAATTTTTTTTTTTTTTTTGCAGACACATATTCTGAAATGAGTCGATGATTTCCAAAGTTGCCCAAAAACAAAATCCTGAAAATTGCAAGATATTTTTCTTAGGAAGAGATTGTTTACTGGAAAGCTTACCTCTTAATAATAAAAGTGAAGATTTTAAAACTAAAGATATGTCCTTGCCAATTCAATTCATATTGTTATCTGCTATGTAAACCACACGCTTGTTACAAAGTAAACCAAGATATTATGAAGGAAATCAATCACCAAAGATAATGAAAATGAACTTTTTATGCTCTTTTTCATTTGTAAATTTTAAAGATTTGTCTTCATTAAATTTGGGAAAGAAAATTTATAGCTGCCGGTAGAAGGTTGTGCCTTCTTAATCCAGGGAGGTGAGCAATGGTATGGAAGTTTAAACCAAACTGCAGCAAATTTCAGAGCCAACTAAAGAGAGGTGTAACATGTCAGGCGATGTGCAACAGTCCTATCCTACATGCTATCTCTTTCGATGTACATTCAACATAAACAAAAAGAAAATTTAAGTTCAGTAAAAAAGACTTAGTGAATCACAGACTTTTCCTAAACACCAGCCACCACCTTGGAGCAAATGACTTAAGTAGTCATGCTTTATTTGCTATTGATAGAATAAAGAAATTGAGCCAGGATCTCAAGCTTGAATAATGTAAAGATTCCTCTCAAAGGAAAGACAATTTTTTTGAGAACTCTCATGAATAAAAGTTAATTCTTATTACTTTGGGTGGCACTTAATGCCAACCTGATTACAGTAAAAAACTCAAGTATAAACACTGTTTGTAGACTCTATAGAAAATTAAGACACTGAGTAGTACTCGGATATAAGGCGGTTATGTGGATGATCCAGAATATGCATAAGACAAACTCCTTATTAAATTATTATGGAACTCATGCCTCTGGAAAGTGAAGGAACTTAGTTTGAGACAGCATTCGGGGAAATAGGTTGGCTTCTGACCCACCTAGGCTGACTACTCAAAAAAGTATGCCTTCTTGGGTTAAACTAAAGCAATAAACTATCCCAGTTTGGGGGGAAAGCTTCTTCCTGCTTACATGAGGAGAAATCAGGGAGAGAAGGATCACTGAGAAACTTAGCACTTTCTAAAGAAGAATATGAAAGGGAAAGAGAAGACTGTGGCACATATAATCAGTTCACAGTTCTCCTCATGGGGCCAAGGCAAAGAGGCAAAGATTGTTCTGCTTTTACACACACACACACACACACACACACACACACACACACACACACAGCTTTTTTGAGATTTCTTCTCTCCTCCCTGGCTACCTTTGATGCTTCATAAACTCAGTTTGACCTAAATATGACCTGTGCTGGGGAAGGGTAGTCTTAAATAGTGGTAGCATATGGCCATTCCTCAGCAAGGTGTCTGGTAAGAGCCACACAGTGTCTCCGGGTAGTCATAGACCATTAAATGTAAAAGTGCCACTGGAATGTTCAAAATGCTCAGTTTTCTACCAAAGAACTACTAGAGAAGACAAGGACACAGGGACCTGCAACACAGTCTCCCTTACCAGTTTGAGGAAGAGTGAACCCAATAGAAATGCTATGAACCACAGTCAGAGCAAACTAAAAACACACCAGAGTCACTTAGAAAGTATATAAATACACATTTAATTATACTTACTGAAAAATCAGAAAGTTGAAGTTTTTTGTATTTAAGGAGACATTCATACATTGGTTGGTTCAATTATTCAGTAAATACCCTTTGCCAACCTAATTATGTGCTAGTTGTTAGACCTAGCACAGAAGAGATAAAAATGAACAATATGATTCCTTGCCTTTAAGAACTCATGGCCTATTAGGGTGATGGAGGGGCAAAAATGGGAGGACAAGTAGGGAAATAAAAGCAAACATTTGAGAATTGTAATAATGGAGGAGGGCACAATCTATTCCATTTTAACACTAAGTCTGAGTCTAGTATCTTCTTCCAATGGTAAAAAGAGGAAGCCAAATTAGAACTTTATTTTTATTCTTCATATTTCAAATCCATAATAAATAAACTAGAGTTCCCACTTTGGAATGGAAGGAGGGAAGAAACCACATTCTGAAGTTTTCATGAGTTGATTCTACCTCTAAAGGGCAGTGGAATGCAGAAACTTATTAACTGGGATGGTACGAGGTATTGCCATAATATGAATGTTATCATCTCAAGACTGACCTGAAGACCATCCTCAAGAAATCCTTCAAGACCAAAGACTTCAGTCTATACCCTGGAACTGACAAATGTTGTGCACATATCCTCTAGATGACCCATACGTTGGTTATTGGTGAATATAATGCAGTGATATTTATATTTATGCTCTTGACAGTAAGTATGTACCAATAAGTAAATATACAGTGTTTGAAAATTACTGTATTTGATTTCTCACTAAAAGCAAAGCTACAGGTATTAGGAGGAGGGGTCTCCAAGTTAGAGGGAAAAAATAGTCAATTTGCAAAAATTATTTTGGTACATGGTTCTCAAACTGTGACTTGGGGATCCCTGGAGTGAAGACTCTTTCAGAATGTGTGAAATAAAAGCTGTTCTCATAACAATGCTAAGGAGATGTTTGCTACTTTCATTCTATCTTATGTGTACAGTGGGATTTTCCAGAGACTCCATGATGTGTGACATCATTATCACTCTGTCAGCAAATAGAATATATGCTTATATATGCCTGTATTTTTAATTTCTCATTTTTAATTTATAATGTTAAATATTGATAGATATGAACCACAAAACAAAAGCTTTTGAGGACCCTAAATAATTTTTAAGAGTATAAAGGCATCTTGAGATCAAAAAGTTTAAGAATCACTGCTTTAGTGGACAGTCCTTAAATGGAGGGAGTACCTAATGAAATGTGCTCATATTTTTCAGGTGGGCTTCATTAAGACAGTGACTGTTTCTGTTTGGTTCATTTTCTCCCCCTCAGAACCTACACAGTGTTAGGTACATAGTAGGCACTAGAATATTTCATAAAACAATAAATGAATTGATACATACATATATTCATAAATGAAGGCTTTGCTATATGACTTATTCAAAGTCACATAAAACATCAATAGCAAACCCAGAACTATATTTAAAGTCTCTTGTTTTGTATTTCTATACTGTTGCTCCTTAGCTCAGGGTATTTTGTTAATCTTTGTTCTATAATCTATTGAAAGCATGAAAAATCAGATATCATCAGTATGGGATGGCTGTCTTCTAATGCTGTTATGTGAGTTGAGCACTATATAGTTTTTTTCCAGCCTTAAGTATAATCTGCGTAGGATGATACTAAAGGACTATCATTACAAGGAAATGGCAAGAGTGATCAGGTAAAATACAGCTTTCTGGGTTTTTCACACAAGAGTTTTTTTCATGAAGCATTCTTATTCTAATTCTTAAAACTCAAAACTCCTCCTCCTTCCTTTAGCCACATCATTAAACTTCTGGCAAGCCTTATGTTAGTGTACTCAGTAGTTCCCAGTAGTTCCCATAAAGAGTAAGAACATAAACTTTCCTTTTGGAAATACGCTTTGTATTTTCCAAGTTGTTTTGAAACACCCTGTGGTATCTGTAACAGAGATGAGAGAAGTTTGTTTGCTACCTTTCTTATGGTTACAGAAATGCAAGGCCCACCCAGTACAGAGAAGAACAGGGGAAAGAAAAGCACAAGACCTACAAAGTGCTTCATTGGTCACCTAAATTCTGACTCTTTTGAGAATTGTTTTTAAAGATGGCCAACCTAAGACAAAACCAAAAGTTAGCTGAACCATGTTCTCCTCAGTCAACTAGAAGGAATTCTTCTCTACTCACATATCCTAAGGACACACTGTCCTGTCTCCACAACAGCAGCCAGAGCTAGGCCCTTAGCAGTCAGATCACAGTGAAGATTCTTATAGTTGGTGAACCTGCCTGCCCTGGGACCTTGGGAAGGTTGCAAGCACTCTCATTGGAGAAGCAATATATGTTCTCAATATTCTTGTGTACGTCTTAACTCATTCAATACCAACCTTTACAGAAGTTGATTAGATGTAGCTGATTCTCATTATTCACAGTAGCTGTGTTCTGTAGTCACTGCCAACACTGAATGAATGATTATGCACCACTGCTCCTAGAGGAAATAAAAGGTTATGTTCCCATGAGCTTCTGGTCACAACATTTCCATCAACCAATCAATGTATAATTTGTTTTATGTGTACTTCTGTTTAAAGATATCTTATGTAATAGATATTGTAGATTCATTAACGTTTAACTGATAGCGAATGGCACTTACAACTCAAGTCTGAACAGAGCTTATATAACACACATATTTTTCCACAAAGAAATTTTTTCCTAAGGCATACTATAATCTCTTTTTTAAAAAACTGTGGCAAAATATACATAACATAGAATCGACCATTTAATCATTTTTAAGTGTGTAGTTCAGAGACATTAAGTACATTTGTACTTTATGCAATTATCAACAACAATCTCCAGAACTTCTTGATCTTCCCAAATTGAAACTTTGTATCTATTATATAGTAGCTCCTTTCATCCCCCATCCCTCCTCCTAGCCATTGGCAATCACAGTTCTACTTTCCACTACCAGGCTTTTTGTGCTTGGGAGCATAGCACTTCAGCACTATGCTTGGAGGTCATTTCAAACAGTGGAATTGCCCCCCAAAAAGGACACAGAAAAATGGAAAAACATGGTTCTAATAGATTACCAAACAGGCACATGTTTGCAGTATGCAGCTGAGATAAGGCAGAACATTGTGTTGTTTGATCTCAGCTGGGAACCTGTGTGTCAGAAGACTCAAATTTTTTGCCATTCTGCACATGTGCATGAATGCCCACAAAAGCAACATGAGTATTGGTTTTGGGGTTAAAAATAACTTCAGCAAGTAGGTAAATTTGCAGATTTTGTATCCCCAAGCATCAACTATGTGTGAAAATGACAGCCTTTGTTTATCTTACTCCAGATAGTAAGAGTAAAGAGCTGAAACATGCCTTGTAATAAGACCAACTGCCTTGGAAAATTTTACTTGCCTCAGAGCCTACAGAAGTAGTCTATATAAATTGATAATTGGCAGCTACAACCTGAAGCAGTTCTACTTCATGTGGAGGATAATTTTAAGCATAATATAAAACCCTCTCGATGAAACAAAAACCAAGCACTCAAGTACCAATTATCAATCACTTATTATATGACAGGTGCTATATTCAGCAATTCATATGCATTATTAAATTACATCCTCCAAAACTCTATGAGGAAACTGAAGACTAGAAAAATCAAGTAAGTACCTCGCCCATTATTACATCATAGTCAGAAGTGGCAAAACTGAGATTTGAACTCAGATCTGACTCCAGAGCCTGGGTTCCCAAACGCTATGCAATTCTAATCAAGTTAAAAAACAAAAGGTTTCATCGACTCAGAAGTGTATAGGAGCATATGTTATAATTATTATAACATGGCAAAGATTCATACTCTGAAAAATAAATTTATCAAACAAATAAAACTATAAGCCTGATCTAATATTGTTCCACAACAAAGAGTATCTGACGTCCTTCAGGGCATTTGGTTTGTGTCTGGTTTTCCTTAATCTTTAATGATGGGCAAATCTAATGCATTATGTAAGGCCATTTTTTTTTCTCAAGAGATGTAGATACCTCTTAAGAATTTGATGAAAATGCATTAACTTTTCAGGCTACTGAGTTGCATTTTAGTGCACTGAGGCAGCAAATTAGTGTACTATGTGCAAAAGTGGTAGTGACCTAAAAACTAAATATTTGATATGAGCCGTTGCATTCTCTGGGGGGAAAAAAAATAATGGATTAACTCTCTTAGTAGTCCTTAGCTTCCTAAAAAGCAGAAGAAATCTCCTGTGGCCTGGAAACAGCCTCTGTTTCTTGCCAGCTATGTCTGTAGCTCTTTAATAGTTCATTTGATTAGATCTTGGGGCTCCCAAAGCTAAGGGTTAGAGTTTGATCCCTACAGAGGCCACCTAAATTTAGAGAACAAAAAGCTCTATTCTCTGCTCCAAGACCTTACCCCAAATCCCTGCCAGGTGTCTGCCCTCCGGTCAAAACCAGACACTGGCAAAGGGGTGCAAACCTATCACAGTATTGGGAAACAAAAAAATGAGCACCCCTTCATTATGGTGCTCTTCCTTTGCATGTGCTCACAATATTCTAATTTATAGAGAATATATACTACACTTTTTACTTTTATTACTGGAAATCTGAGGAAAACTCAAGTGTTGCATTGCCGCCAGTCATAAAAGCCATTATCTTCTTATGCTAACTTCAGAGATTTTCCTACTAGATGACATTGTCCTCTTGGTAATAAACAATTAAGAAACACATCTGAGTGATATTAATCTTTAGAACAGGAAATAATAATAATCAGTCAAAAACTGAGCATAATTTTCCTATTAATAAAGTATATTAAATTATTTAAAAATAATTCCATGTGCAGTATAACATTATACTAAATATGATTTTCAACATGTGCTGAGAATTTAGTCAGGAAAACAAGTTTCTCAAATTATAGTTGAAAATCTTTTACTGGTATCACAATCTTAATTTTATTTCCTTTTAATTCAGGTCTTCCCAATTTATATTTCCCTAATTACAAAGCACTGAAAATAATTTAATACAACAAATAAAATTCTTTTTACTTCAAATCTTTGCATAAATAATATAAAATCACTTTAATTCTTTTGAGGAAGTAACATTTCAGCTTTTAAGGTATGAAGTGTAAATTAAGATTTACTTTTTTAAATGTTAGCTTAAGAGTTTCACATATAAAGGTTATTAATAAGATTAAAGTGTAGTTTACATTACTGTTAACATAGACTTTAATTTTCCAAATGTCATATATATTTTTAATTATTTGTAGATCTATTTCTTTGTGAAGTAGTCAAATGAATTAGCTCACCCTTGACTGTAACAAAATACTGTTTGGTGACTTGTGACAGACAGGGTTTTAACCTCTGACAGCGAGATTCATTGTGGAGCAAGAGCCAATCGTAGATCCTGACGACACTTGTCTCATCAAAGTTGGAATATAAAAAGCCACTTGGAATACAGTATAAAAGATTCACTGGTGTGGCGAGTTGTCTCTCAGCCTGCACAGGCATTAAAATTTTGCTTGGCATTACTCAAAACCAAAAGAAAAATAAAAGGAAGGAATAAGAACAAGAAAAAGATTGTATTGACTTTAAAATCATGCAAAAACTGCAAATCTATGTTTATATTTACCTGTTTATGCTGATTGTTGCTGGTCCAGTGGATCTAAATGAAAACACCGAGCAGAAAGAAACTGTGGAAAAAGAAGGGCTGTGTAATGCATGTACTTGGAGACAAAACACTAAATCTTCAAGAATAGAAGCCATAAAGATTCAAATCCTCAGTAAACTTCGCCTGGAAACAGCTCCTAACATCAGCAAAGATGCTGTAAGACAACTTTTGCCCAAAGCGCCCCCACTCCGGGAACTGATTGATCAGTACGACGTCCAGAGAGATGACAGCAGTGAGGGCTCTCTGGAAGACGACGACTACCACGCCACGACAGAAACGATCATTACTATGCCCACAGAGTGTAAGTAGAACTGCTAGTGTATATCGATTCTGCTGACTGTTGTTCTAGTGTTTATGAGAAACATATCTACTTTCAGGCTCTTTTAACAAGCTGCTAGCTTTTATGTAAGTAGGAAGGAAGAGTTTCTTTTTCCCAGGATTTCACGAGAAATTACTAGCAAGACTGAAATCTGCTGCGCAATTTGTTTCCATAGAGAGCTAAAAAGCTGAAAAATAAATAAAATGCTTGCATGGGATTAATGTTATTTAGTTTAATAAGCATTCACAGCTTAATACCACCAGTGTAACAACTGAGAGATACTGCAAGCAATGTTAAAAACTTAACATGAAATTTCATAATTGCATTTGGTTGCCTGAAGTATGGATTTGCACAACAAGGTTTTTTTCACTAATAACAGAGAAAGGAAGAAATTTGTAGATGTTTAGGCCTATCCGAACATTTGCTGGACCCTAGGATAACTTCTGTTATTCAAAACTTTCTCATAGTATTTTTAGGTTTTTCACAAATTAAAATATTTAATTTTGAAAGCTATTACTCTGGAAAGTCTGAACAAATATTTTCAAACATTTAGTGTATCAGTAAGAGCAATGATGAAGTAAACATAGCATAATGATAATCATGAGCAAATTATCAAAAAATACCTAAGAAATAAACATTTTAATCAAGTAGGTTATAACTCACAAAGTACCTTAACCATGGCACTATTGTTGAGAGTACCCAGTCTGCATGTTTCTAGGCAGGCACATTGCTTAATAACCTTCTAAAATATTATTTCAGTCTTGATGGGACTTAGTCTTCATGGGAGGAAGGAATATTACCTGTAATATCTATATTGCTTTTGAAAAATAATGTACTTTATACTATTCCTTTTGCAGTCAGTCCAAAACTATACTCAAGGAGAGGGAGACGGGCTCCTTAACAGAGAAGGCATGACAAGGAGGGTTTTGTGCCATGTGTCTGTGTCTGTGATCTTGCTTTACATAGTGCTTTATACGCTTGGAACTGGATTTGAAATAGTTTCAAAATATTGTTTTCCTTATTGAGCAAGCAGGCTATAATGTAACAAGTAATTTTTCTTGAAGGCTCTGCTATCAGACAGTTCTGGAGTAGATTTGCCTTATTTATAAATAATCTTGGAAAACCAAAAGGAAATAAATTGCAGGGCTTCTGTTTGTAATGACAGCCTGACCCTAAAGATAGCATTTTCTAACTTTTGAGAAAGCCAAAATCTGACATTTAAATGTTTTGTACTAATTACCTACTTAATTTTGTTTCTTTAAAAGTCTATTGCAGAGCTAAAACATAACAGCTGTACTATATTTTCTAATTCCCAAGGCTCAGTTATTTGCTCAGCATGTCTTGTCCCCAGGTAATTCAGCACTGGGGGAAGGGTTCCTTCTTCCAGACTGATTGGTACAGCTGCTCAGTAAGTGTAACTACTCAGATTCCCAAAGAATTCTAAGTGGATGTTCTTCCACCGTGTCTCCTGTTCTTTCTATCATCATCATCATTTTAAAATTTCATCTACTGTTCATTACATCACAGAATTTCCTAAGTCCACAGTTCTCTGTAAAGGATAGATTCTTCATAAGCAGCTAAAAAATATGTATCTAAAAAATTCTGAAATGCCATAGTAATTATCTTATTTGCTATTTTTCTGAATTATGAATGAGATTCTACATAGTTTTTCACTTTAAAAAACTAAAAATGCATTCATTATTCCAATGGAAAAAATGCTCACCAATTAATATAAAGGAGTTTGTTCATTTCTTATGAGAAAACACTTCAATAACTCTTTCTCTGTTTTTACTCTTTTATAGCTGACCTTCTAGTGCAAGTGGAAGGAAAACCCAAATGTTGCTTCTTTAAATTTAGCTCTAAAATACAATACAATAAAGTAGTAAAGGCCCAACTGTGGATATATCTGAGACCTGTCAAGACTCCTACAACAGTGTTTGTGCAAATCCTGAGACTCATCAAACCCATGAAAGACGGTACAAGGTACACTGGAATCCGATCTCTGAAACTTGACATGAACCCAGGCACTGGTATTTGGCAGAGCATTGATGTGAAGACAGTGTTGCAAAATTGGCTCAAACAACCTGAATCCAACTTAGGCATTGAAATCAAAGCTTTAGATGAGAATGGTCATGATCTTGCTGTAACCTTCCCAGGACCAGGAGAAGATGGGCTGGTAAGTGATAACTGAAAATAACATTCTAACAACCTTATTATGTTTTTATTCATAATGTGTGTGAATAATAGAGGCAATTAACTACCAATTTCCCATGCTCATAAGCCAGACAAAGGTATCTTACCTCAATGGTAGCCCTGTACCCAATAAAAGGTGTCCAATTTCATACGCTATGAAACAACCACTTGATACTTTTACTTCGCATGATGATTTAAAAAAAAGTTATGCCATAGTCCTTAACTTCTTAGGGAGTTCATTGAAATACAAAATACTTCAATGACATGCTACATGATTATATAAGTAAAAGTATTAAATTTTTATAGTGGATTCTAGTACATACCCAACAAATTAAAACTTTTTTTCCCCCAGAAGAGTGCCAAATGTCTTGAAATTTTTTTGGCTTAATAAAGCGGAAAAAAAGCTTTAAAACTTATACTTAAAAAGCTTTTATTTATAGCAATTAACAAAGTATAATATTACTAGGCTTATATTTTTTTAAATAGGCTGTATTTAAGGCCCCTGATGATAAATATGTTCATTATTTTGGAAGCTATTGATGCACTGATGTATATGTAGATTAGATAACTTTGTGAATTGCTCCTACTAAAATTTAAATTTCCAGGTTAGTTATTTCCTTTGCCATTTACCTTATTTCTGAGCTGCCTTACCATTCTTGTATGAGAGTTTATTTAGATAATGCCAACTAATTTAATATTTGGCCAAGCAGACAATAATGCCTTATATTTTATAAAAATTAATACAAACCATTTTACAACCTAGTATAAATTTAGAATTATTTGCTCTTCTGGCTTACCTATGCTTCTGTCTCATTTTCAAAAACGTATCTAATGTGGCCATATTTTTTACTTTCATCTATTGACATAATTGACAACAGAAGATTATACTTGCAAACAATAAATGTTATCTTTTTAGTCTTTAAGTGGTCTTGGTTATAAAGAACATGTAAGTCAGATTAACTTTAAATGAAAACATGTTCTTTAAAAGATTATGCAATTTTCCAATCTATTTTTCTACATCAATCTATTTAAAACAATCTATTTGCTACATCAAATATTATTGACTTCCAAAATAGTGTTTTTTTAATAATCTTAAATAACAATAACCATCAAGTCTGTTTTGATTTTGATATAGGATAAAAGCTATTATTAATTATTTAAGAAAGTATTTTTTTCTATAGGTAGCATTTTAAATGATCATAGTAGTGTGACAGAGGTTTCAATTATTATTGAATTACACAGTTTTTCTGTGTAAAAGGAAATAAAGTCTCAAATGCATTAAAAGATTGGGGCAAGGGAAGGACTAGCAAATCATTGTTAAAAAGTCTGAAGAGAGGTATTTTCAGTGAAAGACTATCAGAAATATTATTGTATCTTCTTCTGAATCTGTCCCACCCTCTTTTAGAGCTTTTTTTTTCTAACCCAGTATACATACTACCGCTTTCATCATCCTACCTTCTTTTTTTCTGTTACAATCCACATAGTGCTGGGAGGTAACTACATTGCTCTGTCATTAATATCCAAGTTGCTCTGAGTAAACATCTGGGAACAGAGGATGGATGAGTATACCTGTCCCTCCAGGAGTCATCAGACATATTTAGCCACATATTTAATTAATAAGCATGAAGAAAGTGAGCAATTCTCTTTCTTCCCTCCTGGCCTCCCCACAACCCCCTTTCTTCCCACAAATATTTTCAGAGCAACTATTATCTGCCAGGCATTTGGGTACCTAAACAGGGGAAAATAAAAATAAAAAATACATAGACCTGACCACAGGGAAATTTGTATTGCTGCTATGTTATTTTGAGCCATTAAGGGAAGAGTCAAGCCTGGTATAAGTTAAAATTCCTTAAAACTCTGCCTTTTAAAATTAATGTGATATATGCAAAATTCATTTCTTAATAATGATTTCTTGAGATAGGAAAGCATTTCAGGATCTATTACTATTACTGAGTGTTCTTTACTTTTCATACAGAACCCCTTTTTGGAAGTCAAGGTAACAGACACACCAAAAAGATCCAGAAGAGACTTTGGACTTGACTGTGATGAGCACTCCACAGAATCTCGATGTTGTCGTTATCCTCTAACTGTGGATTTTGAAGCTTTTGGATGGGATTGGATTATTGCACCCAAAAGATACAAGGCGAATTACTGCTCTGGAGAGTGTGAATTTGTATTTTTACAAAAATATCCTCATACACATCTTGTACACCAAGCAAACCCCAGAGGTTCAGCAGGCCCCTGCTGTACTCCCACAAAGATGTCTCCAATTAATATGTTATATTTTAATGGCAAAGAACAAATAATATATGGGAAAATTCCAGCCATGGTAGTAGATCGCTGTGGATGCTCATGAGATTTATATTTGGTTTATAACTTCCCAAAACATGGAAGACCTTCCCCTCAATAATTTTGAAACTGTGAAATTATGTACCATAGGCTTTAAGCCTAGAGTATGCTACAGTCACTTAAGCACAAGCTACAGTATATGAACAAAGAGAATATAAGCAATGGTTGGTATTTAACCATCAAAAGAAATCATACAATAAAAAGCTTTATGA